TTTTCCAGTCCTGTGGCCAGTGCTGAATTTTCCAAATTTGCTGACATATTGAGTGCATCACTTTCACAGCATCATCTTTCCAGATTTGAAATAGCTCAATTGGAATTCCATCACCTCCACTAGCTTTGCTCATAGTGATGCTTCCTAAGGCCCACTTGACTTAGCATTCCAGGATGTCTGGCTCTAGGTGAGTGTGAATCATCACACCATCAACATTATCTGGGTTGTGAAGATCTTTTTTGCACAGTTTTTCTGTGTATTCTTGCCACCTCTTCTTAATATCTTATGCTTCTGTTAGATACATACTATTTCTATCCTTTATTGACCCCCATCTTTGCATGAAATATTCCCTTGGTATCTCTAATTTTCTTGAAGAGATCTCTAGTCTTTCCCATTACATTGTTTTCCTCTATTTCTTTGCATTGATTGCTGAGGAGGGCTTTCTTATCTCTCCTTGCTATTCTTTGGAACTCTGCATTCAAATGGGTATATCTTTCCTTTTCCCCTTTGCTTTTCGCTTTCCTTGTTTTCACAGCTATTTGCAAGGCCTCCTCATTCAGCCATTTTGCTTTGTTGCATTTCTTTTTTGGGGGATGGTCTTGATTCCTGTCTCCTGTGCAGTGTCACAAACCTCCGTCCATAGTTGATCAGGCACTCTGTGTATCAGACCTAGTCCCTTAAATCTATTTCTCACTTCCACTGTATAGTCTATAAGGGATTTGATTTAGGTCATACCTGAATGGTCTAGTACTTTTCTCCACTTTCTTAAATTTCAGTCTGAATTTGGCAATGAGTTTATTATCTGAGCCACAGTCAGCTCCCGGTCTTGTTTTTGCTGACTGTATAGAGCTTCTCCATCTTTGGCTGCAAAGAATTATGTAAATATCTGTTATTAGTATTTCTCACATTCCATAAGTAGTTGGGTCAGCAGAGGTTCTGGAGTCTCAGATTCCCCATCTCAAGCTTCAGCTCTTTTTCTAGACCACAGCACCTATGGAATTGGTTATCTTGTCTTGCCAATAGAGCAAGAGCTTATTATAAGAAAAAGTCAGCCAGAATCTTAGAATCTGAGCCTCTGTACTGTGTGGTTTAGGCAAAGCTTAGATATTGAATCTGAAAGATTGGATTTTCACATTTTGAAGGGCTACCCGGGGATAAGAAGTTGTCCAAGATTATAGTTCATCTGTATCTTTCTCATAGTCTGACCTTAGGCTAGTTCTTTCCTTCTGTGTTTGATGTCTTCATTCTATATTGCTTTATGAAAAAAAGAAAAGCTCCTACTTCCTTTTTGGTGAAAATGTAAAACTCTATTATGGATTAAGGAGTGGGCAAACTTTACCTTGGTGTAAACTATAAAATATAGATATAGTCTATATCCAGACTAACTGTTGCAACACTTGCCTCTAGCCCATCTCAAATCTTGTTTGAAAGTGGGCATTGAGGAAAAGGGGGCTACAGAGGATGAGATGGTTGGATGACATCATTGACTCAATGGACATGAGTTTGAGCAAACTCTGGGAGATAGTAAAGGACAGGGAAGCCCGGAGTGCCACAGTTCATGGGGTCGCAAAGAGTTGGATATGACTGGGCAACTGAACAACAATAGAATAAGTTATAATTTTTTAAGGAAAGGAAAAACTTAACTTTAAAAAGGTGACATTCATAACCAGTGGCTTGCTTCTAACTACTAAACTGGATATTATACATAAGCTTTCTTCCTTAACCTGAAATTCAGTCTGGCTGAGACCAAATTGATTGTCTTATCAAAAGGGTGATTGTCCTCTATCTCACAACTTCTAATCATGATATCACTATTTTTAAATGTTGGTAAGCTTTTTCTGTGGTGTTGGAGAAGACTCTTGAGAGTCCCTTGAACTGCAAGGAGATCAAACTGGTCAGTTCTAAAAGAAATCAACCCTGACTATTCATTGGAAGGACTGATGCTGAAGCTAAACTCCAGTACTTTGGCCACCTGATGCAAAGAGCTGGCACATTGAAAAAGACCCTGATGCTGGGAAAGATAGAAGGCATGAGGAGAAGGGGTGACAGGGGACAAGATAGTTGGATGACATCACCGACTCGATGGACATGAGTTTGAGCAAGCTCTAGGAGATGGTGAAGGACAGGGCAGCCTGGGGTGCTACAGTCCTTGGGGTTGCAAAGAGTCGGAAACTACTGAGCAACTGAACAACAACAACATAACTTTTTCTGTGAATGGACCAATAGTAAATATTTTAGGCCGTGAGGGCCATAAGGTTTCTGTTACAGGCTATTCACCTCTGCTCTTGTGTTGTGAAAGCAGCCTTAGACAGCATGTAAGTAAATGAGCAGGGCTGTGTTCCAATAAACTTTAGTTACAAAAACAGACTGGGCAGGATTTGTCCCATTGTCAAAATGTACCAAGCCCTATTCTAGAGTCTCAGGATGAAAATGTCAAGAGTTGGTTTTGATTGTCCTCCTCTTTAATTTTTATATCTAAGTAGCTCTCTAGTCGGGCTTCCCTGGTGCCTCAGTGGTAGAGAATTCTCCTGCAAATGCAGAAGATGAAAGTTCAAACCCTGGGTCAGGAAGATCCCCTGGAGAAGGAAATGGCAAACCACTTCAGTATTCTTGCTGGGAAATCACCTGGACAGAGGAGCTTGGTGCCTGGGGTTGCAGAGTTGGACACAACTGAGTGACTAAACAA